CCTCTTCTGCTTGCATAAATAGGGGTGTGGAAAGGAGAACAAATAGCAACCTTTTTTTTTTCCGTACCGGATTAGTTTCAACTCGAATCAGGTCCCCGATCTGATTCACTGTCTGGCCATGCAAATGTTCATGCCAGTATAAGCAAAAACATTGCAGGGACAGAACAAAAGGCCAGAGGTAGCAATAGAGCAGGACCAATTCTTTCAGAGATTATATCAGCTTAAAAGCGTTTGCAAACCCAAGCTCTAAGAGCATAAATGTTTGCATCTCAGCCACTTAATGCCTGATGTTGAAAACGCTGGAGAAGAATTGGAGAAATGTGAAAGTGATGACTTTGCCTGTCGATACAAGAAATGGAGTAATAGGTTTGTGTTATTTTTGTTATTGCCTTGAGTTCCTAACCATGCTATTTAGCAAAATTAGTAAATGTTAGCAAATTAGATAGCTGATGTAGATGAACACATGAGTACACAAACACAGTAAGGATTATAAGGGTGAACAGCATAAACTAAAAAATCTTTGGACTCTCCTAAATCACAGCAAGAAGGATCATGCAGGAAAGGAACTCCTCCATCCTGGACCACCAAATAATATCCCTTCAGCCATCCCTCTAACAAAAAGCACTACTGAGCCACAAGGATAAGCATTTAGGTTCTTACAGTATTAGCTACCCACATCATATGCATGTTCTGCCTTGCCAGATGGCCTGTAATCTGGTCTCCCTTGAAGCTGAAAGCATTGCATTAAAACTCCTAATTGGGGTAATATATTCATAAAGTAATGACCTCAGTCAGTGTTTCTCAAAGTGGGTTACATCATCCAAAAGGATCATGAGAAAGCTCTAAGGCAATCAGTAAGAGCTAGGAAAAAAACCAACTGTATTTGAAAAAAACTTCATAAAAATATATAAAATTATAGAAAATGTGTGATGATAATAAAATCAAATTATACTTAAACATATTGACACCAAACGCAAGTTCCTCAAGTCTGAGGGAGCGTTTTACAATTGCAGACTGCTCACAGCCAACTCTTACCCCGCTCTATGGAGGAGAAATCCGGGGTTTCCACCGGCAGTTAAGGGAAGTAGGCTTTTCTCAGGTTTGTATGGGAGAAAGGAAGGTAAAGGACTAAGACAGATAATTACACTGACAAGAAAAATACTTAAATTTTTTATTAAAAAAAAAATTATTTAAATAATTTTTGAAGAATTTACATTATAGAGATTTGGTAGAATTTCTAGAACTTTGGAAGGTCCAGCCTAGTACTGCTTTCTTGAAATCAGTGGGAGTTTTGCCAATATCCGTCCTTTAAGAGGAACGGAATCAAGTCCCGCACCCTCCACTAATGGAAATTCCATCCTTAACATTTTCAACCTTGAGTTTTTAACAGAAAAGGTGGGAACAACCATGAGTAAGAGCTTCTGAATTTACAGTCTATTGTGCTAAGGTCTAGCCTGCTGCTCACAGTTTACTGGGTTGGTTTGAGAAATTTAACAAGATAGGCCAGTTTTACTACAACGGCTCCAGTCTTGTGGACAACCTAAAACTTCACAGTTGTATCCCATGTAGGTTTGTACAGAGGCACACAGTAGAAAGAAAAATGAAAAAGAGGACAGGTAATAGGGAAGCTGTTCAGAATAATTAATTATGGGATGCAAGAGGAGAGAATCAATGGGCCTTCCCTTAAACATTTTGCCGAAATAAATTCAGCCAGAAGGCAGTGAACATGAAACGGCTTTAGTCACCTCTCCCTACCTAACACATGGGAGCAGATTTCCTCCCAAGGCACTATCCCTAAAGCTGCCATTTATGGGTCCTGAAATTCCGCTTTATCCAACCTGTTTTTCAGGCATCTATCCATTTGGTCCTAGTGGGTGCAGTTTTTCTGTATCATTTGGCTTCTTTGTCCAGTAAAAGAGAAAATTAACAAAATTATAATTGATACAGGTGAAACAGTAAAGGAGTCTTCCTTCTTCTAACATAGGCACTGTCCTGAAAGAATTTAAACAGTTTAAATCCAAAAAGTCTATTCAACACATCTGAATTATTGTACTACTAATAAAGCAGTAAGCAGACACAAAAGCTGCTTTCTAGAAAGGCTTTTCCCCCTAATTTCCATGCCTGAGATTTCAATAACATCAAAACAATACATGTACCTCAGTCAGATCAAGTTATAATCTCCACATTTGGCACGTCAGACAAATGACGTACTTATGAGATTCTTAGGCAGTTCACCTCCCAGAAACACAAAAGTACTCTCAGCAAAACACTTGGCAAAATAGAGAGTACAAAACTAAAACATACTACTTTACAAAATAAGAAGTTTCACTGAAATTGCCACAAAGCGACACATATATTAATATAACAGGAACCAAATGCGCTACTGAACAATGGATGGAAGTGACTTTAAGTATACCAAAGACCAAAGTTCACCATTTTGTCATCCATCATATGCTTATAATATTCAGAAATTCACCTTCAATGCACAGAAACAGCATTTAAAAGTAATGACAATATTTAACCTCTTTCTGAAAAAAAAAAGAAAGTAAAAAGTAACAAAGCTACAAGACTGAGATTTTTTAGAATTGATTAAAAGTTTTGAGCATGCATGAAATAAAAGAGCACGATTATCAGAGCAGTGATCAGAAAGCACTTTCAAAACACCCAGAAATGCCGATTGCCTGCTTAAAATTTTACAGCTTTGAGTTTTATAGTTTTGGCCAAAGCAGAAGTTGAAGACAAGTTTCCTCCCATAATAGCATTTAGATTCCGAATCCAATCCTTTACTCACTTCACCTTTTGAATTCAATCAAGTATGTCCCCATTTTTTAAAGTTCAAGAATGTTTATCACCACACATAAGATCAGAGGACTGTCATTGTTATTCCAATAAAGCAGGGCTATAAAAGCCCAAATGAGGTTATTGGGTGGGATTCAGTTCAAGGTTAGGTGTCACCTCATAGAATCATAGAATGGTTAGAGTTGTAAAGAACCTTAAAGATCACCTAGTTCCAACCCCCCTGCCCTGAGCAGGGACACCTCCCACCAGCCCAGGTTGCTCCAAGCACCATCCAGCCTGGCCTTGAACACCTCCAGGGATGGGGCAGCCACAGCTTCTCTGGGCAACCTAGGCCAGTGTCCCACCACCCTCACAGTCAAGAATTTCTTCCTAATATCTCATCTAAATCTCCCCTCTTTTAGTTTAAAACCATTACCCATCATCCTATCGCTGCACTCCCTGATCAAGAGTCCCTCCCCAGCTTTCCTGGAGCCCCTTTAGGTACTGGAAGGGGCTATAACGTCTCCCCAGTTCCTTCTCTTCTCCAGGCTGAACAGCCCCAACTCTCTCAGCCTGGCCTCACAGCAGAGGTGCTCCAGCCCTCGGAGCATCTTCGTGGCCTCCTCTGGACTCGCTCCAACAGGTCCATGTCTTTCCTGACCTGAGGGGCTCCAGAGCTGGAGGCAGTACTCCAGGTGGGGTCTCCCCAGAGCGGAGCAGAGGGGCAGAACCCCCTCCCTCGCCCTGCTGGCCACGCTGCTGGGGATGCAGCCCGGGATGGGGTTGGCTTCCTGGGCTGTGAGCACACATCACCAGCTCATTTTGAGCTTCTCATCAACCAACACCCTCCCCCTAGTCCTTCTCCTCAGGCCTGCTCTCAATCCTTTCTCCACCCAGCCTGGATTTGTGCTTGGGATTGCAGGTGTTCAATAAGCACAGCAGATATCTAATGTCCCATGCTAGTTATCAGAGTTCCAGTCCAAACCAACCAAAGCAGCTTAAACTCAGCTCATCTTCAAAACAGACCCCCAACCAGTCAGCTACATCACACTTCACATTACGTTGACTTTATTAACTAGATAACTATTGACCACAAAAGATGCTTAGACATCTCAAGGTTGATTCACTTGCCCATACATTAGAGATGCCATGGGGTAACAAGCCTTGTCTCCCAGCTTTTTTTTCAGAAGATCATTCGTCTCTTACTGTCCATGCCATATCTACTGGCGTTGTGCAGTTGTCTCTGCTAACCTAAAGTGTCTCAAATGGCCATAGACACCTTACTATTTTCTAAGTAAGTACACAGCACTGCTAACATAGATGCAGGCACCTATATCCAGGTATTGATCTCAAATGGAATCTCTTCTGTTGTGTTATTAAAGACAATTTCTGAGAAAATAGAAAAAGGTATGAATTAAGATGGAGTAAGAAACGCATTAAAAAAGATAGAAACGTTTTCAGGAATATATTCTTTTCAATAAGTCTAACAAGCATTGTATTTCAAATTTTGCTACAGTTTTGTATGGTTTAGACATAATTCCCATGCAATTAAAAATATATGTAGAAACAGATGTAGCCATTTTGTATCAGCAGATTTTCTTGTAAGCCTTTTAAAGCCAATAACGTTATACCAAAGGGCAAATTTTCCCCAGCATTTTGATTCTCCACACCCTTTCCAGTTGCTACAAAATATAACATTATTTATAGCCTGAAATGTATTCTACGACATTCTTAGAACTACAGTACATTTGCCAGAACTCATATACAAGTTCCAAATACCCCCCACACTTCATACTACCTTATCTACGATAGTTTGTTTTAGTTAGACTGAAGCCAGTTTTTGTAACTCGTTTCAGATTATCTCTGTCAGTGTGCACTGCTGAATATTTAATACCCACCAAACATTGTACTCTTTACAGATACCAACACATGTAAACCATCTTTATTTACTACACATTACATGAACTTCCTCCACAGAAAAAGATGAAGAGTTGTATGAATAATTTTGAGCCAGCTATAATAGATCTGCAGCCATCCCCAATAAACCCATGCACACAAATGGGATAATTTGTCTACTGAAAATCAGAAATTCTTACTTTAACTACACTTTTCTCACAAGACATCTTGCCCTACTCCCAGTCATACTTTAGAAGCTTCTCAGGAAAGTCTAATCACAATGAGCCTTCTTACATAACCAATAAGTCAAACTGGAAAATACTTACGGTTGATGTGATCAATGTAGTATACACCGATCTGAGGATCATATGCGGCTTCCCATCCCCAGGGCAGTTCATCCCCAACACAATCCGCAAACGACAAGGGCTTTGTTAACCTAAAAACAAAGAAACAAGTTAATGGCGTAGCTTTTTTCTCTTCCTTACATATGTTTGCTATTCATATTAATTTCTAGTATGACAGAAGATAAAAAAAGATAGCAGGGAAAAAGGAGAGCAAGTTGTTTACTCTCTTTTAAAGTTTAGGCTCGTGATTGTTTTTCCCTATTCCTTCCTTCTGAATTCATTAACTCCAAGAACATAATATAAGTTATTGCAAACATTTTTCAGTACAGGCACTCAAGTGAGAAAGTCACTGCAACATCTTTCACATTTGACGGTTTAAAATTAAACAATAACCAATAGCTTATAAAAAAAAATAAAAATAAAAATAATCTACACTCCTGTTTGTCCCCAGAAGAACTGGACCCTACAACGTTGAGTCAAGGTCACCCTCTCTAATGACCACAGAGGGAAAACTCAGAAAAGAGCACACAACCGTCTTAAGATGCAGTAAGCAGCACTTACCAATCCACATACTTAAATAAAATAAGCAGCAGTGTGGAGAAGGAGTGCACAGAATAGACATTTCATAAGTAACATTTAATGGGCCTTCAGACGTTCACATAGTGCCTTTTCAGAATGACAGACAGTTAAAGTTTTTCATTTCTATAGTGGAGCGCCTATTTTTCACAAGAAACAAATTGGTAACAATAATAAATGGACTCTTTTCCAACTGAGGCTGAGTAAAGCTTTGCATCATCATATTTTTGCCCTTTTTTTAAAAAAAAAAAGAAGAGAGTATCGAGTTTCCCGTTGATAAACCCACAGATAAATGCCATGTCTGATATACTGATATATTTAATAGGAAGAACAAGAGATTTAAGGTTTTATTGTCACCATAGTGACAATAAGATTAGTATATATCCAGAGTTTAAAAAGAATAAAATCCTCAGAGTAAGATTATCAAAAGCAATTTGTGGGACACCTCCTTTGCTCACTGCTGCTTAAGTTCTACCACCTAAGACTGTTTTTTCACCTCACCTTTAAAATTCTATACAAATAAAAAGCTGTCAGTCTGATTCACATATGCTTTTTTGTGTTTCAGTATTTTTTCTTCAATTAGTTTCTCACCAAAAGAAACTGGTTTATCGACATTTTTGTGAGGAATGAAAGTGAAAATAATAGTACATTTTACTTTCTACAAAATGAATGGGCTTTTTTGTGTAGAAAACGCTCCACAGAAAATATTTTACAAAACTATGGATTTAAATTTTTCTTACGGCTAAGAAAATAGAATTTTGAGCATAGGTTTGATTTAGAAATCACCGTCCCACAAATATATTTTTATTATTATTGATGGAACTGACCTGTCAATTCTTCAAGTAGGGCAACACTTTATTTCTGCAAACTAGGGTTGCAGAAATTACAACGAAACAAGCCCTTATGATCCAAAATCTCTGCAGAGTGCAGATAGATATTTTTTTTTAAATCGTAAGCATGGATCCACTTCCTCCTAGTTCTCCAAAGTTTATAACATAATCCTATGACGGTTACTAATTCTTAATTTTGAGGTCCTGAACAAATTCACAAATAAGGCAAGTTTGCTAATTTGTTGCCGCTTACAAACTGCTGTGCAAAACCACTAAACACACTGAAAACTATTGCAAAAGTCAGGCGAGATTACCAATGTGGAATTACATCTGGATCACTAGGATATAAAATACGGGTTGCAAGCAGCACAAGCAAGCTATGAGCAAAGTTCTGTTTACTGGGAGAGGTTCTCCATGCGAACGGCAGCCACAGACACTTTTCTCAGTTGAGTGACAAGGTGTAGCTTCTGTAGTACCTGTTCTCCCTCTCAACCTGAACCCACTATATGCTGCTTCACAGTCCAGGAGCTCCTTTTCTAAAGGAAATCTTAAATGGACATGACCTATCCTCCTCATTACAATGCAAGAGAGGACATCCCACTGAACCTGACTGGGGTAAACTCCCCAGTGATGTGCAGGGAGAGAGACGGGGTCTGTAGTAAGCCAAGCCTACCTGCTGTATCCTCTCCCACTGCGGACATACATTTTTAAATCCAGACACGGCACTGGTCTGAGCGAGGCTGCTCAGAGAAGGAGCTCTCCAGAAAGCCCAGCTCAGCCCTGCCCCTCTGCTCCTCACCCTCCTCCGTTTCTCAGGGCAGGAGAAGCCGCGCTGCCGTGGCCAGGATGGCAGCTACGCCACTCAGCGGGCTAACGGCTGGCCCGCAAAGCGCTGCCGTACCCCACACACCTGCCCAAATGCTACCTGCTCACGCTTACCGGCATCACTTCAAAGATTAGCGTTTTGTTTGCAAATAGTAGCAGCTAGAGAGAAAGAGATGGCTCTTAGGAAAGAAGGATAAGCCTTTTAAACGCACACGATCTCAGCTTCAGCTGGGCTGCTGGCAGCACCAGTGGACTGCACTCAGGGTACCAGCGTTCCCAGGCCACTACGGCTCCAAGGGAGCATCAGTCATGTAAAAGCAACAGCCCTTTGGCGAGTTTGGTTAGTCACATCGGCCTGTGCCAACTACGAGGCTTCGTATCTTGCTGTGAAGAAAGCCCTGCCTCAAATTAGATTACAATTGTGGATTTTCATGAAACATCTGAAACCAAATAAAAATAAATGTTTGACATCAACCTTAACATTATAATATTAACTCAAAACACAAGTCTTATAGTTCAAGTAGTACAAAATATTTGAAATACCATATAGCAAAATAGGGATCGTAACAAACTTGTATAAACACGGCCAGATGGTCTCTAATAAAATTCATTTAGAACTCCGCATAAGCATTCAATAATTTCACCAAAGATACACACGACAGTTAGCAACAAGATGTGATTTTTTTAAACTGCCTCTATAGGAAGGATATGAACCCAGTACTATTCTGGCTTTTCATGTGCACTGCACACCAATTTTACTTTTAATCAAATACTGACTTCTGACCGCAGACCACTCTGGCCATGGGGATGTTCTGTCCAGGCGTTACCACCTGCCAGAAATCGGACACTGTGAGAAAAAATTGCAGCCGCTCTCTCATCCCAGACACTCCATAAATTAAAGCAACACTAAAAAAAATGTGGAAAGTACTTTGAGTCGCCCACTCTGGACCTTAAACAAAAGAAGAAGAGGGAGACAGAGGCCCTGCAGGTAGCAGTACGGGACAAACTATTCTATGAATTCTGCTCTGCTGGATCATGCTTGGACATCACAGCCTTAAGACCTGAACTAGGTCAGGAGAACTGCTCCTGAGTAGATTTTTAAAACATGAAAAGGTTTGTACATAACAGGATCACAATTACTTAAGAGTGTTACATTCCTATGACTCTTTTTTGTTCCAGTCTTTTAATAGCGCAAGATTTTTGAGCCCGACACAGACTTTTGTGCAATGGGCACAAGGTGATACCCAATTGCTTAGGGCCCTCAGAACTCTCTCAACATAAACAGTATTTACTTTCCAAACACGTATCGCAAATGGATGAGATTAACATGACATGAAGATAAGTAAAACTCAAGACAAAATTTGCAAGACAAAAGTTGAAAGGAAAGAGAGTTACAAGATGTAATTGGAAAGGAAATAACACCTAGGTGCAAGGACTGAAGTAATCTTGTCTGTGTGAAGATCATTATCATGACCTATGATAGACGGACTGCCATTACATTCATTAACCGCGACCCAAGAAAAATGAGGTTTATTGCGCCATAATAAGAGGATTAAGTGCTGCATCTCAGGGCACTGATATTCTGAGGTAGTTTATAATACTTTTTCAGCCTGTCATCATCAATTTACATGTTCTTAAAAGAATGCCGATACTCTGAAAAGGGTAACGTAAAGTCCACATTTAGTATACTATGAAGTTTAATTAGTTAACAAAACAAGGGGTTTTTTTAAATGCATATCATTAAGCTCAAGTATTCTCACCTATGGGCACTTTTTTCTTGACATTATAGAACTCCTTCCAAGTGAAGACTAATTTATTAGCCTTTAGCTCGTATATAACATTTTTATCTATTCAACCCTGTACAGCTGCAGCACTCCCATTTCAGCATATGGGTTGAAATGTAGTCCCTGGCCACAAGAACAAGAAGCCAGTGTGTGTAAGGAGAAGTGGCTACTCTTAAGAAAACCAGGAAGCATTCTGTAATTCCATTATGTAAACAGTATATGATTATGCTATTGCCAATCACTTCACAGATGCCCTGGGAAACCTAGGAGACAAATACAGTTTATAAATTGAGAAGCTGCATTACCACCTCAAATCCACATTTTTCTTGAAATTTTTCAAAATCTAAAGTTAGCTAAGATCTTAAAATGTGGATTCTACAATGATAAACGTGTTACCATTAACAGTTGCTATTGCATCTCCAGCCATGCCTGTAAGTACTGTACTGGAACTGTAACTACAGACTGACGGATTGTCCATGTGATACTGCTCTGTTTCTGTATATGCATGTAGAGTTAATAAAGAGGCCGATGATACTGTAAAATGGAACTGTAACTACAGACTGATGGATTGTCCATGTGATACTGCTCTGTTTGGACAACTCTCTTGCTTGATGTACTCCCTAGACCACACATACACACAGAACATTTCTTCCTAAGATCATGGTCCACAAAAAATAAGAAATTTACTACATATACTAGTGAATGCTACCTTTCTGTCAACATATGGGCAGCCCACGGTATTTCACACTTCTGTGATCCCACATTATCAGTGTGCATGTTCTTAAAAATGCGTATGCATTTGTATACACACACACTCCCTCTCTATTTTCAACATATTGTTCTATACAAGAGTAACGCTGCATTCTGCTGCATTCCTCCTCTGACTTCTTTTTTCTCCAAAATCCATTCAGGATTAAATCAACTGTAACACTGAACCAGAGTTTATCCATATCGTGATTAGGACTCTGTTTTATCAATAGAAAACTCTGCACTTTGGTCTTTGCTCTCTTCTAAACTCAGCTGATACCAGCATCACTGACCTCCTTAGCAGACCTGATTTTATCCACGCG